TCTACTAAAAATACAAAAATTAGCTGGGCATGGTAGTTCGCGCCTGTAATCCCAGCTGCTCAGGAGGCTGAGGCACGAGAATCACTTGAACCTGGGAGACAGAGGTTGCAGTGAGTCAAGATCGCATCACTGCACTACAGCCTGAGCCATAGAGTGAGACTCCATCTCAAAAAGATAAAATAAAATAAAATCATAAATCCTGGCCAGGGGCAGTGGCTTACATCTGTAACCCCAGCAGTTTGGGAGGCCAAGGTGGGCTGATCACCTGAGGTCCAGAGTTCGAGACCAGCCTGGCTAACATGGTGAAACGTCACCTCTACTAAAAATACAAAAATTAGCCAAGCATGGTGGTGCATGCCTGTAATCCCAGCTACTCGGGATGCTGAGGCAGGAGAATCACTTGAACCCAGGAGGCAGAGGTTGCCGTGAGCCGAGATCACACCACTGCACTCCAGCCTAGGCAACAAAGCAAGGCTCTGTATCGAGAGACAAAAAAAAATTAAAAAATGAAAATTCCCGGCCAGGTGCAGTGGCTCACGCCTATAATCCCAGCACTTTGGGAGGCCGAGGCAGGTGGATCACAAGGTCAAGAGATCAAGACCATCCTGGTCAACAAGGTGAAACCCCATCTCTACTAAAAATACAAAAATTAGCTGGGCATGGTGGTGCACGCCTGTAGTCCCAGCTACTCAGGAGGCTGAGGCAGGAGAATTGCTTGAACCCAGAAGGCGGAGGTTGCGGAAAGCCGAGATGGTGCCATTGCACTCCAGTGTGGGCAACAACAGCGAAACTCCGTCTCAAAAAAAAAAAAAAGAATGCCAGTGAAACTGGGCTCGTGCCCACCCTAATGACTTCCTCTTAATTTGATTATATCTGCAAAGACACCCTATTTCCAAAGAAGCTCACATTGGTAGGTACCAAAGGTTAGGACTTCAATGTATCTTTGCAGGGGACATTAATTCAACCCATAGTGCAGGTCCTACCTGGCCCTGGAGTAGTCTGCCCTGGCCTCCCATATTTCACACGGCCTGCCCTGTTACCCAGGAGGCCCCTGCCATGCCGGCCTTCTCCCTATCTGTGAATGCATCATGCTCAGCTCAACCTGTCTTGTCCTGCCTGGAAAGCTCTCTCCCCAGTTTTGTTTTTCAGAGGCAGGGTTTTTCTCTGTCCCCCAGGATGAAGTGCGGTGGCACAATGGTGACTTACTACAGCTTTGATGTCCTGGGCTCAAGCAATCCTCCCACCTCAGCTCCTCAACGTGCGGGGATTACAGGCATGAGCCCTGTGCCCAGCCGTATTTACCAATCAGTTTACCAATCAGTCACTACTTGCAGCACGGGGAGGGGAGGAAGGAGGAAAAAAGAATAATAAAAAGAGTCACTACTTCCAGGCCAGTGGTTCATATCTATAATCCCAGCATTTTGGTGGGGGCCAAGATGAGCGGATCACTTGAGGTCAGGAGTTCAAGACCAGCCTGGTCAACACAGAGAAACCGATCTCTACAAAAATTAGCCAGGCTGGTGGCAAACATCTGTTATCCCAGCTACTCAGGTGACCGAGGCATGAAAATTGCTTGAACCCAGGATGCAGAGGTTGCAGTGAGCCAAGGTGGTATCACTATACTCTAGCCTGGGCAACAGAGGAAGACTCCGTCTCAAAAACAAACAAAAAACTCTTTTCTTCCAAAAGCTCCTGTCTGACCTCCCAATTTAAAACATTTCAGAAAAATCACATTAACTTGTTTCTCATCTGTCTACCCCAGTAGGCTGCTCAGTCCTCAAGGGCAAAGACCTTGTCTGTCTTCTTCACATCTGTGCCCCAGTGCCTAGAACAGTGTCTGGCATCAAGCTCTCAATGAATCTACACTGAATAAATGAATTAGGAAGCTCTTGATTTTACAGATGAGGAATCTTGGATCCAGAACAGTGAAGTGATCACATGGATATTTCTTTTCTTTTCTTTTTTTTTTGTTTGAGACAGTTTCACTTTTGTTGCCCAGGCTGGAGTGCAATGGCGTGACCTTGGCTCACCGCAACCTCTGCTTCCCAGGTTCAAGCAATTCTCCTGCCTCAGGCTCCCAAATAGCTGTAATTACAGGCGCATGCCACCACACCCAGCTAATTTTTTGTATTTTTAGTAGAAACGCGGTTTCACCATGTTAGCCAGGCTGGTCTCGAACTCCTGACATCACATGATCTACCCACCTTGGCCTCCCAAAAAACTAGAATTACAGGTGTGAGCCATTGCACCCGGCCTATTATTTTTATTTTTATTTAGAGGCAGGCTCTGACTCTGTAGCCCAGGATGGACTACAATGGCACCATCTTGGCTCACTGCAACCTCCATCTCCCAGGCTCAGATGATCCTCCCCACTCAGCCTCCTAAATAGCTGGGATTACAGGTGCATGCCACCATGCCCAATTAATTATTATTTTTTAAACTTTTTGTAGAGATGGGGTTTCACTACATTGCCCAGGCTAGTCTCAGACTCCTGGGATCAAGCAATCATCCCACCTCAGTCTCCCCAAATGCTCTGATTACAGGCGTGAGCCACTGTACCTGTCCTCCCATGAGTCTGTTTACTAAACTATATTCCCCGAATATAGAGCATGGATGTGCTTCTAAACCAGTGACCAGCAAACTCTCTCCGTAAGGGGCCAGAGGGCAAATATCTTTGGCTTTGCAGCCCATATGATTTATGTCACAGCCACTCACCTCTGCCACTGTTAGTAACAAAGGTAGAGATAATATGTAAATGAATGAATGTGGCTATATTCCAATAAAACTTTATTAACAAACAACATTTGAATTTCATACGATTTTCTTTTTTTTTTTTTTTTCTTGAGACAGGGTCTTGCTCTGTCACCCAGGCTGGAATGCAGTGGTGCAGTCACAGCTCACTGCAGCCTCGACCTCCCTGGGCTCAAGCAATCCTCCCAACTCAGCCTCCTGAGTAGCTAGAACTACAGGCACGCATCATCACACCCAGCTAATTTCTTTACTTTTCGTAGAAACGGGGTCTCAAACTCCTGGGCTCAAGTCATCGACCCGCCTCAGCCTCCCAAAGTGCTGGGATTACAGACATGAGCCATTGCACCTGGCTTTTCTAAGGTTCCCATGTCACAAATATCTTTTGTTTTTTTTCAACCATTTAAAAATATTAAAAATGTTCATAGTCTGCAGGCCATACAGCAGGCTGTAGTTTGCAACCTCCCATTCTAAATTCTCTTTTTAATAATTTTTTGTAGAGATGGAAAGTGATCCTCCCGCCTCAGCCTCCCAAAGTACAGGGATTACAGGCATGAGCCACCGCACCCAGCCATGTATCGGCAGATAGGATAGGCTGTTTTAGGAAAGCGCAGTAGGAAGGGTGGCTCACGCCAAGCCCTGGAGTTAGCACCATAGCATAAGAGTGCCCACGGCCAAGCGCGGTAGCTCACACCTGTAATCCCAGCACTTTGGGGGCCGAGGCGGGCGGATCTCTTGAAGTTAGGAGTTCAAGACCAGCCTGGCCAACATGGTAAAACCCTGTCTCTACTAAAAATGCAAAAATTAGCTGGGCTTGGTGTCAGGTGCCTGTAATCCCAGCTCTTCGGGAGGCTGAGGTAAGAGAATCACTTAAACCTGGGAGGCAGAGGTTGCAGTGAACCGAGATCACACCACTGCACTCCAGCCTAGGCGACAGAGTAAGACTCTGTCTCAAAAAAAAAAAAAAAAGTGCTCGCTACACCTGACAAAGCAGGCAATATATTAAACAAACGAGAAAAACTGGAGCTCAGAGATCTTAAGCTACTTACTCAAAGTGACACAGAACTCAGTGACAGCCTTTGGACTGGAATTCAGGTGTTTAACTTGACTCCTTATTTTTTTTTTTAGAGGCAGGGTCTCCCTATGTTACCCAGGCTGGAGTTCAGTGGCTATTCGTAGGTACAATTATGGTTCATTGCAGCCTGGAATTCCTGGACTCAAGCAATCCTCCCACCTCTACCTCCTGAGTAGCTGGGACTACAGTCCCATACCACTGCACCTGGCTTTGATTATGGTATACTGTAACTTTGTTACATAATAAGATGATATTAATAGCTAGGATGATATTAACAACAAGCTAAAAATAAAAGCTCATTAATATGCCAGGAGCCATTTAAAGCACTTTATTTATTTATTAATTTTTTTTTTGAGACGAGTCTAGTTCTGTCACCCAGGCTGGAGTGCAATGCCACGATCTCTGCTCACTACAACCTCCACCACCCAGGGATTAAGCAATTCTCTTGCCTCAGCCTCTGAGTAGCTGGGATTACAGGCGCCTGCCACCACACCTGGCTGATTTTTGTATTTTTAGTAGAGACAGGGTTTCACTACCTTGGTCAGACTGGTCTCTAACTCCTGACCTCGGGTGCTCTGCCAACTTGGCCTCTCAAAAATGTTGGGATGACAGGCATGAGCCAGCGCACCTGGCCTAAAGCACTTTATAAACTACTATCTATTCTTCACAGCAACTCTAAGAAGCAGTCATTTTTTTTTTTTTTTTGAGATGAATTTCTCACTCTGTTGCCCAGGCTGGAGTGCAGTGGTGTGATCTTGGCTCACCGCAACCTCTGCCTCCCGGGCTCAAGCGATTCTCTTGCCTCAGCCTCCCAAGTAGCAGGGATTACAGGCATGTGCCACCATGCCTGGCTAATTCTTTTATTTTTAGTAGATGGGTTTCACCATGTTAGCCAGGCTGGTCTCGAACTCCTGACCTCAAGTGACACGCCTGCCTCAGCCTCCCAAAGTGCTAGGATTACAGGCATGAGCCACTGTGCCCAGCCGCAGGAATTATTTTTATCCTCATTTAACAGGTGAGGAAACAGACATGTGAGAGGTCCCTCAGTTTGTAAGTGGCAGGGCCCAGAACGAATTCCAGGTCATCTGAACCCATAATCCATATTCCCGACCATGACTTCCTCCTTCCCAAGGCTCTGGGCACCTCTCCAGCCCCATTCCCTGCCAGCCTCACTTACTGGCCACCTGCAGCCACACTTGGAACCACTGAGTCACGTTCAGGATCTCCCGGCAGGTATAGTTCCCCTCATCTTGCAGGCTCAGCGCTTCGATGTGCAGGGAGCTGACATTCACTAGAGAGAAGCGAGGCTCAGCTGGCAGGAGGCTAGAGTTGGACGAGAGAAGAAAGACAGGCTCCGAGTCGTTCCGGTACCAGGTCACCAGGCCCCTCGGTCCTGAGATGTTGCCACAGTGCAGAGTAACATTCTCGTGAACTTCTCCAATGACAACAGCCTCCAATCCTGTACAAGGGGAGATCAGCCTGTTACTACCTTTCTTGATTTCCAAACAACCTCCCTTTTTGGACAGTCTTCCTGTATTAGGATTTTTTAAAAGTCAGGTATGTGTTCTTGAGATGCAGTAACACATACAGAGCAGCTGGGCAAGGTGGCTCAGGCCTATAATCCCAGCACTTTGGGAGGCCGAGGCGGGTGGATCACTTGAGGTCAGGAGTTTGAGACCAGCCTGGCTAACATGGTGAAACCTCGTCTCTACTAAAAATACAAAAAATTAGCTGGGCATGGTGGCAGGCACCTGTAATCCCAGCTACTCAGGAGGCTGAGGCAGGAAAATCACTTGAACCCAGGAGACAGAGGTTGCAGTGAGGCAAGATTGTGCCACTGCACTCCAGCCTGGGTGACAAGAGCGAAACTCCGTCTCAAAGAATAAACAAACAAACAAACTACATGGTGCAGACCCAAGTTGTCTCAGTGGCTCCAGCTTGGCCCATTCTAGATCAGCCTTCAGCTAGTCATCAATCCCCAGGCAGATCATCAGAGCCACCTAGCCAACCGCCCAGGCCTCTGGATAATAAGCACTACTGTCATTTTGGGGCTGTTTGTTACACAGCATTACTGTGGGGATAAAGAACTGATACAGAACCCAAGTGGCTTTATTTGCCTAGAAATCAAGAAGGGGTAGAAAAAAAGAGGGCTTTGGCTTTGTTTCCACTGTCCCGCTGCTCTCCCTGCCTCCCTCTCTCTCTCCATCTCGGGTGCAAATGGCTCAGGTTCAAACGGCCCTCGAGTTCAAGTTTTCTCAGAAGCTCCATGCAAGAATGGGCTGGCAGTAGGGACTGTGCGCCCACTTTGGGCAAGGCATGGGGAATCCCATGGTGGACACAACACACAGAAACCTCCAAGAGTTCACAGTCTAGTGGAGAAAAGAGACAATAAACTGGCAATTACAACGCAATGTGATAAACAGCAAGATAAGGCCTCTGAGGAAGGGCTCCTAAGTCCAACTAGGGCAAATGTCAGGAAACACTTCCACCAGGAAGCCAAACTGAGATCTGATGGACAAGTAGGAATCAGCCAAGCAAAGGTGAGGATGGGTTCCCAGGCAGAGGAAACCGCATGTTCAAAAGCCCAGATCAGCAGCCACAGCATGTTAGCAATACACATTGTCAAGCCTCACCCCAAAACACACCTAAATCAGAAACTGTGGGAGAGCAGCAGCCCTCTGAGTTTTGTTTATTTATTTATTTTTAACAAATAAGCAATTATTTAACTTTTTTTCTAAGAGATAAGGGGTGGAGGCCAGGCGCGGTGGCTCACGCCTATAATCCCAGCACTTTGGGAGGCTGAGGCTAGTGGATCACGAGGTCAAGAGATCGAGACCATCCTGGTCAACAAGGTGAAACCCCATCTCTACTAAAAATACAAAAATCAGCTGTGCATGGTAGTGCGTGCCTGTAGTCCCAGCTACTCGGGAGGCTGAAGCAGAATTGCTTGAACCCAGGAGGTGGAGGTTGCGGTAAGCCAAGATTGTGCCATTGCATTCCAGTCTGGGTAACAACAGCAAAACTCCGTCTCAAAAAAAAAAAAAAAAAAAAAAGAGATAGGGGGTGGATCTCACTCTGTTAATCCTCCGAACTCAGCCTCCCAAAGTGCTGGGATTACAGGAGTGACCCACTATACCCAGCCCAGCATCTGTGTCTTAGCAAGCCCTCCAAGTGATTCTGACACCCATTCAAGACTGACAGGTGTCTGGGCATGGTGGCTCAGGCCTGTAATCCCAGGGCTTTGGGAGGCTGAGGTGGGAGGATCACTTGAATCCAGATGATTGAAGCTGCAGTGAGCCACGATCGTGACACTGTATTCCAGCCAGAGCAACAGAGATACCCTGTCTCTTTTTTTGTTTATTTAATGTAAATAATTTTTTCTTTTGGAGATGGGGGCAGTGGTCTCACTATGTTGCGCAGGCTGCTCTTGAACTCACATTCCACTCAGACCCAGCTTGGGCTCCCAAAGTGCTGAGATTACAGGTGTGAGCCAACGCGCCCAGCTGACCCTGTCTCAAAAAACAGACTGACAGGTGTTAACGGGCATTAGACTGTCACTAGGTAAAAAGAAGCAAATGCAGCCCATTTTGCTGAGAAGTTTCACAATTGCCTGCCCCCCCCCCCCCCACCTCCACAATCAAGACCCAAATTCAAAGAGGCGGCAGGAATAGGAAGATGGGCAGAACCTGTTGGGGTGATGAAAATGATCAGTTAGTGGTGATGGTTGTAGAATGCTGGAATACAGTAAAATCCAGAGTCGTGTACTTTAAAAGGGTGGATTTTGGCTGGGCACAGCGGCTTACGCCTGTAATCCCAGCATTTGGAAGGCCAAGGTGGGTGGATCATTTGAGATCAGGAGTTCCAGATCAGCCTGGCCAACATGGTGAAACCCCATCTCTGCTAAAAATACAAAAATTAGCTGGGCAGTAGTGGTGCACACTGGTAATTGTAGCTACTCAGGAGGCTGAAACAAGAGAATCACTTGAGCCTGGGAGGTGGAAGTTGCAGTGAGCTGAGATTGCGCCACTGCACTCCCGTCTGGGAGACACACACACACAAAAGGATGAATTTTTGTCTCAAAAAAAAAAAAAAGATGAATTTTGTGGCATGCAAATTATATCTCAATAAAGCAGTTATAGAAAAACTTGTCACCTGCCTCTGGCAATCCCTCCCATTTAAGTGAAAGAGTAATCATTATATGTATTTGGCCTCTTGTTTTGTTAGAAGGGGCTCCCTTTGAAAAATCTGAAGTCAGAGCCCCAGAAGTCCTGATTCTCTCACCATTTTGCCCACACATTCCCAAAAGACTTTTGAGCCAAGTCAGGATGGAAAAATAAAAAACACCACCACCACCACCAACCAAATTTTAAAAACTAAGCCGCTTGCTAAAAGGTGGAGAATGTCATCTAATGATAGATTCCAAAATAGCAAGAAATGCTTCTGAACAATCACTTAAAAAGGCAGGTGAAGGCTGGGCACAATGGTTCACACCTGTAATCCCAACACTTTGGGAGGCCAAGCAGGTGGATCACTTGAGATCAGGAGTTCAAGACCAGCCTGGTCAACATGGTGAAACCTCATCTCTACTAAAAATACAAAATTAGCTGAATAGACAGGCTCGGTGGCTCATGCCTGTAATCCCAGCACTTTGGGAGGCTGAGGCAGGCAAATCACCAGAGGTCAGGTGTTCGAGACAAGCCTGGCTAACATGGTGAAACCCCGTTTCTACTAAAAATACAAAAAATTAGCCGGGTGTGACAGTGTGCACCTGTAATCCCAGCTACTTGGGAGGCTGAGGCAGGAGAATCTCTTGAAGCTGGGAGGCAGAGGTTGCAGTGAGCTGAGATCATGCCATTGCACTCAAGCTTGGGCAACAAGAGTGAAACAGGGGAAACGCTGTCTCAAAAATAAATAAATAAATAGCTGAGCATGCTGGTGTACACCTGTAATCCCAGCTACTCAGGAGGTTGAGGCAGGAGAATTGCTTGAACCCGGGAGGCAGAGGTTGCAGTGAGTTGAGATCATGCCATTGCATTCCAGCCTGGGCAGCAGAACAAGACTCCATCTCAAGAAAAAAAAAAAAAAAAAAAAAGCAGGTGAGAATTCTATTTATTTTTTTGAGATGGAACCTTGCTCTGTTGCCCAGGCTGGAGTGCAATGGTGCAGTCTCAGCTCACTGCAACCTCGGCCTTCTGGGTTCAAGCGATTCTCCAACCTCAGCTTCCCAAGTATCTGGGATTACAGGCACCCACCATCATTCCTCGCTAATTTTTTGTATTTTTGTAGAGACGGAGTTTCACCATGTTAGCCAGGCGGGTCTTGGGTGATCCACCCGCCTCGGCCTCCCAAAGTGCTGGAATTATAGGCGAGAGCCACCATGCCTGGCCAGGAAATTATTAGGACTGGGAACCCAAATTCTCCAGTGGCAACCCCCACAAAGGAAAGAAAGGTGAACTTTAGAGTGACAGATGCAACATGTGTTCATGTGACCTGCAGAGCTGCTCCTTGCCTAACTTGGCAAAGAAATAAAGGAACAGTGGCTTGGAAAAAAAGCCCTGGTGAAACTTTAGTCTTGGAACTTGAGCTAACATTGTCTTCTCCTCCAAGGAATAGAATGACATGATCACAAAAGAAACCATTTGAAGGCATTTTACTGCTCCTGGCGTGGCTTACTCCATTCTTTTTTTTTTTTTTTCTTGTGTTTTACAAAGATGGGGTTTCACCGTGTTGGTCAGGCTGGTCTCAAACTCCTGACCTCAGGTGATCCACCCGCCTTGGCCTCCAAAGTGCTTGGATTACAGGTGTGAGCCACCACGCCCGGCTGTTACTCCATTCTTTTTTAAACCACTGTATCTGAAGGTGCCCTTAGAGAGCATCTAGTCCAGAAATGTGGCTGCCCTGAGGGCTGGGCTGAAGATGAGACTGAGTCCTGGCTCAGTGGAAAAGAACACAGTCATCGATTTGTGATGTCTGACATAGACACGGAAGGGGTAGTTCTTGACTGACAGTCCTATACTTCCTCACTTTACTATTGAGAAAATTGAGATTTAGGAAGATTTATTCACTTAAAGTCCCAAAAAAGTCACTAGGAGATGTGGGATTGTCACTTAGGTCACTTTACTCTGGTCTCCTGCACCAGACAGGAGGTAATGATAAAATATAGTAACAATTTTAGACGTCATGCATATGGTGTCCAGAGGGTCCTGTTGCCTACCCAAGCTTAAATGTATAATAGGGAACAGAGGAGGGAGTCATATAAACTCCCTGACACTGCTCATGTATTATTATTTACAAAGTAAGAGTTATATCCAAACATTAATTTATTTATTTAGCAACTTTTCCCAAGAATAACCTAGGGTTTACCATCCAGGGTAGCTAGTGGATGCATATAAGTTGTCTGACATTGAATGTCAGGAGAAAGACAATTTTTTTTTTTCTCCAAAACAATGCCCAACTTAAAAAACACACAACAGGCCGGGCGCGGTGGCTCACGCCTGTAATCCCAGCACTTTGGGAGGCCAAGGCAGGTGGATCACATGGTCAAGAGATCAAGACCATCCTGGTCAACATAGTGAAACCCCATCTCTACTAAAAATACAAAAAATTAGCTGGGTATGGTGGCTCGTGCCTGTAATCCCAGCTACTCAGGAGGCTGAGGCAGGAGAATTGCCTGAACTCAGGAGGCGGAGGCAGGAGAATTGCCTGAACTCAGGAGGCGGAGGCAGGAGAATTGCCTGAACTCAGGAGGCGGAGGTTGCGGTGAGCCCAGATCGCACCATTGCACTCTAGCCTGGGTAACAAAAGCGAAACTCCGTCTCAGAAAAACACACACACACAACAAAAATACACCAAGCTCAGGAAGTCCCCTGGCACAAAGGTGAAGCAGGTCTGGGCATCAAAATAGCTGGGCAAAGGTGTGGCATGACGGCCCATTATCCCAACAGTTTGCGAGGCCAAAACAGGAGGATCACTTGAGTTCAGGAGCTTGAGACCAGCCTGGAGAAACGCCTTGAGATCAACATGGAGAAACGCCATCTCTACTAAAAATACAAAATTAGCCTGGCATGGTGGCACATGCCTGTAATCCCAGCTACTCAGGAGGCTGAGGCAGGAGAATTGCTTGAACCCAGGAGGTGGAGGTTTTGGTGGGCCAAGATCTCAACATTGCACTCCAGGCTGGGCAACAAGGGCAAGACTCTGTCTCAGAAAAAAAAAAAAAAAAATTAGAAATTAACTAAGTGTGGTGGCACACGCCTGTAGTCCCAGCACTTGCAGGCCGAGGTGGAAGGATCGCTGCAGTGATCTCGCCACTGCACTCCAGCCTGGGCAACAGAGCAAGAACCTGGTTCAAAAAAAATAGCTGGGCATGGCAGTGGAGATAGGTTCCCCATGAGACAAGAGGCGGTCAGCCCGAAAGCAAGGTCATTCCAGCAGCATGACTTCATCCCAGGGTTCTTTCGACTTCCCAGGTCCTTGGGGTTCATCGAGCAGGAAACACTGCAGACGGCTGGGGCGGTGGGAATACTTGACCATCACCTTTAACATACAGAGATGACCAACTGGGAACTGTACTTCTCCCCACCCCCTTCCACCCGCGCACACACCCCCTCCCAGCACAGTGATTACTCAGCCAAATGCCTGGAGGGTCAGCAGGTAACGCCCATGACTAAAGAAGGTGGGGCAAATATTACAATAGGAAATCGTGGAACAAATTTTGGGTCACATGCCCTAGATAAGAGGATGACCACTGTCCAGATCCAATTGGGAAACCAGGCCCCGTGTAGCCAGAACTTCGGATTTTTCCAGATAAACCGGAAATCTAGATTATAAGAAATGTTATTGTTTTTACATAGTTGGTTAAAAAAAAAAGCAAAATAAAATTATATGAGTCTAACAATTAGGAACTTTTGGCACTTGCTGCTAGGAAGCTCCAGCGTAACTTACAATCCATCTGCAGAAATCTGCCAGAGACCAGTTGGGTGAAGCCGACCCGGGAAACACAAAAAGTAGCGTAGCGCTCAGCCTGCATCCTGGCACACTTCACCGCCTCCTGACTCCACCTCCTCTCCCTGCACCCCAGCCTCCTCCCAGCTTGTCACACTCCCAGCACACAGTAGGCATGCATTCGCTGGTGCAATAAATTCAAATATGTATATTTTTTCAGTCTTTTTACATTCTACATATTCTTGTAAGCACCCCCCAATTCTTTTTTCTTAGCAAAGCAGACTACAGACGAAGCATTTCGGACCCTTTCTCAATCATGTCAAGTGTAAGGGGAAGTCTTTTGTAAGTCAGCCAAGTATTTCAAAATAAAAAGCTTTTCCAAAAGTAAAGGCGGAAGACCCCGCTTTGAAGGCGGTGGTCGGCACAGGAAGGCTTGCAAAGGTGTGTAGGGAAGTCCGCCGGTTACAGGTGTAAGGCGAGTTCAACCTTGAGCGGAGGGAGGAGAATAAAGTGGGAGTCTCGAGTTTGAGCACGAGCTTATCAGGTATTAATAAAACCAGAACGCGAATTTACATCCGATGCTTTAAAAAAAAAAAAATCAATTTCCCGGCACACGTGCCTCTTTATTTTCCCGTGCCCCTCGGCTAGGGTCCTCCGCAGCCTCGCCCGCTGCCCGCCCCAGGAGGCTGGAGGAATCTCGACCCGCACCGGGTGCCCGGGAAAATTCCTTCCTGCAAAGACGGCGGAGCTGCGAGCAGGAAACCAAGACCCTCCTGGGGCGGCTTCAGGGCTGCAGCCACCACGGATCCGCGCGGAGTCCGTGGGAATTCGGTCCCTCTCTCCCCTCCCCACCGCTGATTGGGAAAACTCAACTTTTCCCTCCAGATCGCGGCCCCTTACCTACGGCGACCCAGCCGGCCAGGAGCGCCCCGAGGCAGACGAGGACGCGGGGCTCCGGCGCACGGCCGCCTGCGGCCATCTCACCCCAGATCCCTGCTCAGGAAACGCAGGCTCGGGCTGGGCTGGATGTATGCGCCCCAGGGCCCCGACGCCCGGGGGACCGCGGGCTCCTCCCAGGTCCTCGGAACGGCAGAGTGACCCCACTTTGTCGGCCCCTAGGAAGGATGCTCGGCGGAGCCGGGTGTCCGCGGCCGGGAGCGGCGCTCGGCTGCAGGCGCGGGTCCCCGCTCCCGAGCGCCCTAGCCTGGGAGGGAGGACGCACCCCGCCCCCTGTACCCGCCTGCCCACTCCCGCCGGCGGAAAACAACAGGAGCGAGCTCCCTCCCGCCTCCCAGCCAGGCGGGAGCCCAACTTCCTCTACCTTGGCCGGGGAGGAGGGCTTTCTGCGGAGGGCGCGCCGAGCCGGGTCCCGCCGGGCCAGGGGCGGAGCGCGGAGGCTGGGCCCTCCCCGAGTCCACTCCGTCCGGGACGGCAGCTGGAGTCGCGGGGACTGCGGGTGGGACGGGGCCCTGCAGCTGCCGCAGGACGCACCGCCCCGCCGCGGCCCCGGGCTTCCGAACCCGGAGGAGGTGGTTGCCAAGCTGCAGAACGCAGGACACTCCTGACAGTCCCAGCTGAGCGTCTCGAGGGATTCCAGTCCCTGTCCCTGGGCGCAGGGCGGGCGCCAAGGCCGCCATCGCTGCCTTTCCCTACCCTCTACAGAAGGGAGCCGGAGAAAGATGATCCCCTGACATTCAGCCAAAAGCGGCCACGAGACTCCGGTTCTCCGGTGAACTGGCCGGGACCACACAAAGAGAGCGAGCGCCAAGGAGTCCCAGGGACCTGTTTCTCAAGAGTTTTGTTTTTGCTTTTCCCGTTTTACTTCTCCCACCAGCCACCCAGTCAGACTCCCAGGCTAAGTTCCTCTCTTCCCGGCCATGCCTTCGTCCCATTCGGTCCTGGGGAAAATGCGGCTTTGATATCCTCAGGAAGAGCCATCCATAAAACAGCCCTAGGATAAACTTCCCTGTTTAAAATAATAATAATAATAAACCGGGTACGGTGGCTCACGCTTGTAATCCCAGCACTTTGGGAGGCCGAGGCGGGCAGATCACCCGAGGTCAGGAGTTCGAGGCCAGCCTGGCCAACATGGTGAAACCACATCTCTAGTAAAAATACAAAAAACTAGCCAGGCCTGGTGGCGGGCGCCTGTAGTCCCAGCTACTTGGAAGGCTGAGGCAGGAGAATCGCTTGAACCCGGGAGGCGGAGGTTGCAGTGAGCCGAGATCAGGCCACTGTGCTCCAGCCTAGGTGACAGAGCAAGACTCCATCTCAAAAATAATAATAAAACAAACTGCAATTAGCATAGTAAAATGTTAATTGTAGGCTCTAGGGGGTTCTGGAAATATGTGTGTTCACATTTTTCCAACTGTTCTGTATGTTTGAAAATGTTCATAAAATGTTGGAAGAAGAAACAAAAAAATGCTATTAAAATCATTGTTCTGGCCAGGCGCAGTGGCTCACGCCTGTAATCCCAGCACTTTGGGAGGCCGAGGAGGGCAGATTGCGAGGTCAGGAGTTCGAGACCAGCCTGACCAACATGGTGAAACCCCATCTCTACAAAAATACAAAAATTAGCTGAGCATGATGTCAGGTGCCTGTAATCCCAGCTACTGGGGAGGCTGAGGGTGGAGAATCTTGTGAACTGGAGGCAACTGAGCGAGACTCCGTCCATCTCCAAAAAAAAAAAAATTTTAATTTAAATTTAAAAATTAAAAAATGAGATCATTTGTTCCGTTGTCCGACAGCCCCCTTATTGAAATGCTTCTTTCATGAGGAAATCCTCTTGAAACCACACACAAAAAAGTCTTTCTCCTTATAAACTGAGTCACGAAGCTGAACGATTCTGCCTTTTAAATTTTTTTTTTTTTTTTTTTTTTTGAGATAGGATCTCACTCCAGTTGCCCAGGCTGGAGTTCAGTGGTGCAATCTCAGATCACTGCAGCCTCCACCTCCAGGGCTCAAGCGATCTGCCCACCTCAGCCTTCTGGGTAGCTGGGACTACAGGTATGCATCACCACTCCCAGCTAATTTTTGTATTTTTTGCATGTTGCCCAGGCTGGTCTCGAACTCCTGACCTCAAATGATCCACCTGCCTCAGCCTGTCAAAGTGTTGGAATTACAGGTGTGAGTCACTGCACTCAGCCCTTTTTTACTGTTTGCTCAAAGATTTTTAAATAACTGTTCATCAGATTCTTGATAGGAATTTTGTTTTGTTTTGGTTTTGAGACAGGTTCTCCGTATACCGCCCAGGCTGAAGTGCAGTAGTGCAATCATAGCTCACTGCAGCCTCAACCTCCTAGACTTAAGTTGACCCTCCCAGAGTACTGGAATTACAGGCATGAGCCACTGCACTCAGCTTCGTTCTTGCTTTTCATGTTAGACCTTGTGGCAGATCCTACACTAACCAGTTCTGTTTCCTGTATCCTCAGTACCTGCCGCCTAGTTGCCATTCTAATATACATTTGTTGCATAAACAAATGAGAGTTAATTATTTTGATATTGTAATTCCTCAGCTTTTCTGGCAAACACCTTACATCCTCACCTGAAATAAACAAGCTATAAATAAAATCGATAACTTGGCCAGGCAAGCTGGCTCACGTCTGTAATCCCAGCACTCAGGAAGGCTGAGGTAGGTGGACAGATCCCTTGAGGTCAGGAGTTTGAGACCAGCCTGGCCAAAACAGTGAAACACCGTCTCTACTGAAAAAAAAGTAGCTGGGTGTGGTGGCGCACACTCAGGATCCCAGCTACTTGAAAGGCTGAGGCAGGAGGATTGCTGGAAACCAGGAGGCAGAAGTTGCAGTGAGCCGAGATTGTGCCACTGGACTCCAGCCTTGGCAACACAGAGACCCTACTCAAAAATAAATAAATAAAATTTTTTAATTAAAAAATAAAATCAATAACTGGCCAGTTTTCAGCAGAGGGCCTGGAATTCTCCAAGACCTCATGGTGAATTGTACAGGTAGCCTTCTTCACATATTGGACAAGTTGACGTATGGTTCTAATCTCACTGGACCCTCCCTGCAATCCATGGACTTAAGGTGCAGTGCTACAGGCCATCTGGCTTTATTTATTTATTTTTGAGATTGAGTCTTGCTTTGTCACCCAGGCTGGAGTGCAGTGGCACAGTCTCGGCTCACTGCAACTCTGCCTCCTGGGTTCAAGCCTTTCTTCTGCCTCAGCCTCCCAAGTAGCTGGGATTACAGACACACACCACCATGCCTGGTTAATTTTTGTATTTTTAGTACAGATGGGTTTTGACCATGTTGGCCAGGCTGGTCTCAAACTCCTGACCTCAAGTGATCCACCCACCTTGGCTTCCCAAAGTGCTGGGATTACAGGTGTGAGCCACCGCTCCTGTCGCCATCCAGTTTTATAAATGAGAAACCTACCGCTCTGGAAGATTACCTCTGAGTCACACAGCTGACTGGTGGTAAAGCCACGACTGACTGTCTAACTGCAACTCCAGTCCCACAGAGCTGAAACCTTGTCACATGTGCAAAGGCTGCCAGTGCCAAGGGGACACGCACCTGAATGCTCTGTGTGTTAGTGGACGATCAGACACCAGCCTTCCCTTGAGCAGAGCTGGGCTGGAAAACACCACCCTCTTCGTTTTGAGTGCAGGGGCTCAGGCCAGCCGAGTCAGAAACTGTGTAAGGAGCTGCCCTGATGTCCACTTGCATTTTAGGTCACTCTGGACAGTAGAAAGTACCCTGCCTAGAACAACCTCCAGTGAGTTGGGGGTTTTGCATGGGGTCCCAAACAACATAGGGTCCTTTGATAGTCCGAGTTTCTCTATCTGCAAAATAGACCTAATTTTTCTTTTTTTTTTTTGAGATGGAGTTTCGCTCTTGTTACCCAGGCTGGAGTGCAATGGCGCGAACTCGGCTCATCGCAACCTCCGCCTCCTGGGTTCAGGCAATTCTCCTGCCTCAGCCTCCTGAGTAGCTGGGATTACAGGCACGTGCCACCATGCCCAGCTAATTTTTTGTATTTTTAATAGAGACGGGGTTTAACCATGTTGACCAGGATGATCTCGATCTCTTGACCTCGTGATCCACTGCCTCAGCCTCCCAAAGTGCTGGGATTACCAGCACTTTGGGAGGCGTGAGCCACTGCGCCCGGCTTCTTTTTTCTTTTCTTTTTCTTTGAGGCAGAGTCTAGCTCTGTTGTCAGGCTGGAGTGCAGCGGTGTATTCTCAGCTCATTGCAACCTCCACCTCTCGGGTTCACACAATTCTCCTGCCTCAGCCTCCTGAGTTGCTGGAATTATAGGCAAGCACTGCCAGGCCCAGCCATTTTTGTATTTTTTAGTAGAGATGGGGTTTCACCACATTGGCCAGGGTGGTCTCCATCTCCTGACCATGTGATCCGTTCCCCTCCGCCTGATAGACCTAGTATTTATCTCATGGGATGCTGTAAAGATAAACTAGATTGGGCTTGGAGGCCTAGGCTGTGACTTCTTGAGGCCAAGAGCTTGAGACCACCATGGGGCGACATAGCAAGACCCCCATATCTACAAACAAAAAAAAATTTTTTTGTATTTTGTATTTTTTTTTTTTTTTTGAGACGGAGTTTCGCTGTTATCACCCAGACTGGAGTGCAATGGCACGATCTCAGCTCACCGCAACCTCTGCCTCCTGGGTTCAGGCAATTCTCCTGCCTTAGCCTCCTGAGTAGCTGAGATTACAGGCACACGCCACTGTGCCCAGCTAAGTTTTTTTTGCATTTTTAGTAGAGACGGGGTTTCACCATGTTGACCAGGATGGTCTAGGTCTCTTGACCTCGTGATCCACCCGCCTCGGCCTCCCAAAGTGTTGGGATTACAGGCTTGAGCCACCGTGCCCGGCCTTTTTTTTTTTTTTTTTTTTGAGATAGGGTCTCACTCTGTCACCCAGGCTGGAGAGCAGTGACACAATCTTGGCTCACCTAATACCTAGAATAGTGCCTGGCACAGCATAGACACTCAGTAAACAACTGTGGAATTAATAAATAGATCAACAAAACCAAAACAAGGCAGGGAATAAATTACCAGATATTAAATATCATACTCTGCTGGTTCATTGAATATAATGGATTAAAAGGGTTCAATAATCTTAGCTGTCTTTACAGTTCGAGAAAGCTAAATGAACAGTTAAATGAAAGTTACATGAGTACCCAACACAGTAAGAACATGCTTAATAAATACCAAAATACATGAATATGGGTGAAGGAAAGTTTTGTCCCTTGTTATAATCAAACAGACATATCTTTTCTTTTTTTAATTTTTTTTGAGACGGAGCTTCACTGTTGTTACCCAGACTGGAGTGCAAT